GCACATGTACACCCACACAGGCATATACATCGGAACACATGCAGACACGTATACACACAAATTATCATAGCTATCAAAATTATAACTGTATTCCACATGTGTGTTGGTTTTGGGTTGCTGTGACCACAATAGCTGACAGAAATAATTTGAGAGGAAAAGTTTATTTTGGCTCGCAGATTTAGGGTGTTAGAGTCCACAATGAGGAGGCATGGCAGAGTAGCTCTGTCTGTGACAGCAAGAACGTGGGGCAGTGAGCCTGCACATGGTGAGAGAGCAGAACCAGAACTGGAATCAGAACTGCAGCCTTCAAAGGCCTGCTCCCAGTGAGCTGCTTCCACCAGCTCAGTCCCCCATGCTAAAGGCTCTGTATCTTTCAAAATAGCACCACAAGCTGGGGGCCAAGCATTCAAAATGAGTGGATGTGGGTGACGTTTCAGATTCAAACATAGTAACATATTACAAAGTCAAAAGGAGACAGGTGTGTGTATGTGCGTGCGTGTGTGCGTGTGTGTGCTTGTGGAGGCCACAGGAGGACATCGGGTATCTTGCTCGATCATTTCTCCACCTGATTCCTTTGAGACAGAGTCTTCGACTGATGGAGCCAGACTGGCAGCCAGCAAACCCCAGTGACCCCCTGCCTCTTCCTTCCACAGTGCCGGGGATACAGGCACAGTCACTCCCAACTTTTTAAGTGGGTGCTTGGATCCAAGCTCAGATCCTCGTGCTTGCACAGCAAGCACTCTTACCCACTGAATCATTTCTCCAGTCCTCAAATAGGATTTGTTGAGATGAAAGCTAGTGTTTAGGTTGAAAAAAATATATGGGATAGGAAATTAATGGCAGGCAGCATAGATTTGGCAAAAGAAAAATATCAGTGCACTTGAAAATGTAGCAATAGAAACGACTCAAAATGAAACAAGGAGAAAAAATATTTTTAAAGTAGAATGAGCATCAGTGAGTTTTAGTATGCTCTTTCAGTATCTAATAGAAAAAACAGAAAATCATCAGGTATATGGAAAGGTTTAGCTTCACTGTCAGCTGGTTTGACCTACTTGGCACTTCTAGAACATTCCACCCAGGAGCAGAAAGCACGTTCTTTCCAACTGCTCATGAAACACCTATCAAAATAGACCATACTGTAGGCTGTTAAAAAATACTCAACAATTTAAAGGATTCTAGTCATAGCAAGTGTGCTTCTGATCAAACTGGTACTAAATGAAAAATAAATAGCAGAAAGATATTTGAAAAAAAATCTCCAAGTCTTTGGAAAAATAAAACACTTTTAAATAATCCGCGGTCAAAGAAGAAATGAACAGGGAAATTAGAAAGCATTTGGAAAGGGGTGAAAATGAATCAGTATACCGGCACTAACAAGAGAATTTTAACATTAAATGCTTATATTGTCAAAAAATGAAAGATTTCAAATCAGTGACCTCAACTTCCACCTTAAGAAACCATAAAAAGATAGGTTCAACCTAGTGGAAACAGAAGAAAATAAAATTTAAGAACTGAATGAAAACAGAAATGAGAAAAACAATAGAGAGAAATTTAAAAAACCCATGTTTTGTTTCTCTGAGATCAATAAAATTAATGAAATTATAATCAGACTCGACAGGAAAAAGTTGGTACAAATAACCAATATTGGTGCTGGAGAGATGGCTCAGTGGTTAAGAGCACTGGCTGCTCTTGCAGAGGACCTGGGTTCAGTTCCCACCACCCACATGGTGGCTAATAACTATCCATAACTGCAGCTCCAGGGGAGTCCAACACTGTCTTCTGACCTCCACAGGCATTTCATGACACAACATGGGTGCGCATGACACGACACAGGTGCACTTACACATGCAGACAATACACTCATACACATAAAATTTAAACAAACAGGGGGCTGGAGAGATGGCTCAGCAGTTAAGAACACTGACTGTTCTTGCAGAAGATGTGGGTTTGAATCCCAGCACCCACACAACAGCTAACAACTGTCCATAACTCCAGTTCCAGGGGATCTGACAGCCTCTTCTGTCTTCTGCGGGCATTTCATGACATGAGTGCGCTCACTTACATGCAGGCAATACATGCATACACATAAAATAAAACTAATAAATATTAAAAAGATTTTAAACAAACAAACAATGTTAGGATAGAGAGGAGCATATTGTTTATCTAAAGTATCCACAGGGTAATGAGGGAATGTGCTGAGCCATTTTTAAAAATTTAATTTTTTTTTTTACTTTATGTGTATGAGTGTTTTGCCTGTGTGTAAGTGCACTACATTCATGCAATGCCCACAGATGCCAGAAGAGGGCATCCGATCCCCTGGAACTGGAGTTCTGGATGGTTGTTAGCTGCCATGTGGGTGCTGGGAACAGCACCTAGGTTCCCTGGAAGAGCAGCCAGTGCTCTTAGCCACTGAGCCATCTCTTCAGCCCCCATGATGATTCATTTTTGCTTATAAGTTAGACAGCCAGGTGAAATGCACACATTTCTTACAGTACCAACCTACAAAAGCTCTTCTAAGAAGAAATAACTTAACTAGCCTATACCTATCAAAGAGTTTGAATTTGTACTTGAAGCCTTCCTCTGATTTCACTGGTGAATTCAACAAAACATCTAAGGAAGAAGGAATGCTAACTCTACACAGATTTTTCCAGGGAACTAAAGAGGATGGAATATTTACCAATTCATTGCTTGAAGTCAGATCACTTTGATACCCAAACCAGACAAAGACGTTACATGAAAGGAAAATTATAGACCACTGTTTTTCTTGAACATGGATGAAAAAGTTAAAAAAATTTAATATGTCGTACTCTGTGCCAAAGGCCAAAAACGTCAAAAGTATTTGGGAACTCGTCTCTAATTCCTAAAAGATTTTAGGGTTACCTCTTCAGAGGGGAGAATGTTAAAGCCACATCAAAAAA